AATACTAATACTAATACTAATACTAATACTAATACTAATACTAATACTAATACTAATACTAATACTATTACTAATACTAATACTAATACTAATACTAATACTAATACTAATACTAATACTAATACTAGTACTAATACTAATACTAATACTAATACTAATACTAATACTAATACGAATACGAATACGAATGCGAATACGAATACGAATACGAATACGAATGCGAATACGAATACGAATATTAATAATAATACTACTAATAGTCATACTAATACGAATACTAACCTTCATACTGATACCAATACTGCTACTACTACCACTACTACTAATACTATTACTAATGCATACTAATACTAGCTAATACTCACACTGGTACTAATGACACAAGTACGATTACTAATACCATTCGTACGCCCCTAATATTAACTTTGACACTACTATTACGAACACGGGTACTAATACGGATACACCTGCGACTATTTATGTTACCATTCATTTTTATAGTATTAGCACGAAAAATAATGATATTGATAAAAATCATAGCAAGATTGCCAGCAATCGCTGAATCAACAAATACTGAGTCCATACCTAGTTATACCAAATCATGTATAAGGATGATCTTGCGAATCACCAGCGGAGGAGGAGGAATACGAGGAAGAGGACGAGGAAGAGGAGGAGGAATAGGAAGAGGAGGAGGAGGAGCGGAGCTGGAGAAGGAGCAGGGGGAGGATGAGTAGGAGGAAGCGGAGGAAGATGAGGAGGAGGAAACGGAGGAGGATGATGAGGAGAAGGAGGAGGGGGAGGAGAAGGAGGAGGAGGAGGAAGAGGAGTCGAGAGAAATGGGAGGCGCTCGACTCAACTGGTTCGGGGATGACCCCATCCTCATGCAAACAGTTCGGAGGCGGAGGAGAGGGTCCCTCGAGAACAGCCAGACAGCCAGGGATCTCCGGCAGACCCTGGGCCACGCTCCACGACGTAACCTTCACGATGCCAGCTATGGGTTCGGCCTTGTGGCCTCAGCCCACGTGAGACAGGCTGCCCGTCGAGGATCTGTAGTGAAACATGTGGAGGGGCCGTTTGGCCCTAAGGAGGGCCGCATAGACGTCAGTCACAGTTGCCAAGTGTTTCCAATACGTTGCAGCCGCTACGCCTTTCCAGTAGTGCTTCCCACTCGCATTCGAGGCGCTCTGTCTCAGGGAACCCTTCAACGTCCCAGTCGGGCGAATTGTTTGACTCAATCCAGTGGCCAGGATCAATTTCGGAACCTGTGAAAACGGTGCGCCTGTAGGCGAGACGAGAAAGATGAGGCGAGATGATGATGAGGATGCTGATGACGGTGATGATGATGAGGAGGAGGAGGAGGAGGAGGATGAGAAGGGGCAGGAGATGGGGATTAGGACGAGGAGGAGGAGGAAGAGGAGGAAGAGGAGGAGCCTGGAGGAGGAGCGGAGGGAACTAAAGTCTCTCCTGGGTGCGTGCTCTGTTCTCATTCAGTAGCCCTGTAATGAGCTGTACCCTTGGGAATCCTAAGACCCCACATGTGGTCTGATTAGAGGAGGAGGGGAGGTCGAGGAGGAGGAGGATGTGGATCAGGAACAGGAAGAGGAGGAGGATGAGGAGGGTTATGACGATGGCGATGGCGATATTCGCGACGATATGATTGTTATGATGGTGATGATGGTGGTAGCGGCTGTAGTCGTGGTGTTGGTCGTGATGTTGATGATGATTGTGATGGTTCTGTTGACTGGTGATGATTGTGATGGTGATGATGGTGATGATTGTGATGGTGATGCTGATTGGTGATGGTGATGATGATGATGATGATGATGATGATGATGATGCTGCTGCTGGTGATGATGGTTATGACGATGACAATGATGATGCTGTTGCTGATGCTGCTGATGATGGCGACATGATGATGCTGCTGATGATGATAGCTGCTGCTGCTGCTGATGCTGCTGCTGCTGATGATGATGGTGATGATGATGACGATTATGCTGATGATGATGATGATGATGATGATGATGATGATGATGATGGTGGTGGTGGTGGTGGTGTAGAGCTTGTGGCGAGATGATGTTGATACTGATGATGATGCGGATGATGATGCTGGTGATGATGATACTGATGGTGATGATGAAGATTATGATGATGATGATGATGATGATGATGATGATGATGATGATGATGATGATGATGATGATGATGATGATAATGATGATGATGATGATTCTGATGATGCTGCTGATGATGCTGATGATGATGATGATGATGGTGGTGGTGGTGAAGATGACGACGACGATAATGATGACGATGATGAGGATGATGATGAGGATGATGATGATGATGATGATGATGCTGATGCTGCTGTTGATGATGATGACAACGATGATGCTGATGATGATTATGCTGCTGATGATAATGCTGATGATGGTGATGATGATGCTGCCGTCGTCGTCGTTATGGTTATTGTTTGTGTCGTTGTTATTGTTGGTTGTTGTTGTTGCTGCTGCTGCTGGTGATGTTGATTGAAGAGGGAGGAGGCGGAGGAGGAGGAGGAAGAGGAGGAGGAGAAGGAGGAGGAGGAGAAGGAGAAGGGAGGAGGAGGAGAAGGAGGAGGAGGAGGAGGGAGGGAGGAGGAGGAGGAGGAGGGAGGGAGGAGGGAGGGAGGGAGGGGAGGGAGGGAGGGAGGGAGGAGGGAGGGAGGGAGGGAGGGAGGGAGGGAGGGAGAGAGGAGGAGGAGGAGGAGGAGGAGGAGGAGGAGGACGAGGAGGAGGAGGAGGAATATTAATAATTATAAGATATAAGAAATAATAATAAATATGAAGAAGAAGGAGGAGGAGGAGGAGGAGGAGGAGGAGGAGGAGGAGGAGGAGGCTGGGAGAGAAGGGAGCTGGGGACCGCTCCTGGCGAGTTTCGGGGGCCTGCGTCTGGGGAGGTCGTGGCGAGCTCCTGCCAGAGCCGTCCCCGGCGATCGATTCGATGATGTGTGCTGGTGCCGGCGCGTGTCACCGATCGTACCTATCGGGGCGGCTGGCCGTGCTCCTTCGCGGACGGGGTCGTATCCGATCGACGAGCGACCACTCGCCTGCTCGCGAGTGACCCCCGCCCAGCCCCCCCTCCCCGAAGGAGGCGGCGGCGCTCGCCGCGTGCGCGCGCCCGCAGCCGGCGGCCGACGCGCCCGACGCGGCCGCGGCGGCGGCGTCTGAGGAGCCACGCGCGCCTGCCGCGCTGGTTACCGCCGCGGCGCCCGCGGCGGCTGCCGCCCCAGCGGGCCGAGCGACGCCCCGCCGCGCCGGAGCCGCCCGCTGCCGCGCCAGCGGCGGCCGCCGAGCCGCTCGGGTCGCCCGCCGTCGCGCCGGCCACCGCTGCCGCGGCGGTGCCGTCCGCGTCCGCGGGGCGCGCGGGCCCGCCGCCTGCGGCGGAGGCTGGGCCGACCGTCGAGGAGTCGCCGCGGATCCTCCTCCTCCTCCTCCTCCTCCTCCGCCTCCTCTCCTCCTCCTCCGCTCCTAGTCCCTCCCTTCCTCCCTCCTCCTCCTTCTCCTCCGCCTCCTCCTCCTCCTCCTCCTCCTCCTCCTCCTCCTCCTCCTCTGTCCACCCACGGAGGTCGGCCCCGCGCAGTTGGGGGTAGGGGGATAGGGGGTAGGCGGATGGGGGAAGGCTTCTTTCGTAGAATCACCTTCTCTGTAGGGGCAGGGCCGGCGACTTCTAAGAAGCAGCCTCCTTGGGGGAGGGGGGAAGGCTTCTCTCTTAGAAGCACCCTGCTTCTTAGAATGCACGGGCCTTCTCTGTGGGTGCAGGGCCAGCGCCTTCTAAGCAGCAGCCTCCTTCTAAGTGCGTTCCCTCCTCCTCCTGCCCCCTTCTGTGCGCGCCGCCAAGCGGAGGGGAAGTGGTCCGTGAGGAGTGTTTTTTAATTTTCCGGGCCATGGCGCCCATGGCGCGGGGGGGGGGCAGGAGAAGAGGGACGATACCGAGGAGGAGGGATGATGATGAGGAGGAGGAGGAGGAGGAGGAGGAGGGGGGGCAGGAGGGAGCAAGGCACGTTGAGCCGAAACTTGAAGGGGAGGGGGGCAGGGAGGAGGGAAGGGCCTCGCCGTCGTGCCTCCTCCCCCCCCCCCCCACAGTGCGTCTTAGGCACTGCCGCATCGCGTCCGGCACCACAGTCTGTGGAGCTGGACCCATACGGCGGGGGGGTGGCGTTACGTTTACCCCCCTGGCCCACCCAAATAACGCCTGTTATCACCGCGAATGACACATGCTCTCGGTGGAAGCCCAGATCTCCGAGGGCATTTTTTTCAACCTAGGCTTTTTTCCTTCATCCCGGTCTCCAGGGCCCGTCATCTCGCCCCAGGGCCACGAAAGGCGGATCTGGGACGCAGAGCTGCTCGCGGGAGAAGGGCTCTGGGGCCGCGGATTGAAAACATTTCGGTTTCAAGGATGTCAGGAATAGGGGAACAAAAAGTGACATAGACATTCAAACTCGGAGGTCCGCGCGGATTTCTCGGATCGGCGCTGGGGCCCCCCGGCGGCGCCTCCGGCGCGCTCCGCGCGCCAGGGAGGGGGGTCCAGCGCCGATCCGAGAAATCCTCGCGGACCTCCGAGTTTTCAATGTCTATGTCACTCCACTCTTTGTTCCCCTAAGGCAAAGCTGGCCCCTTGGCTTTCGTCCCCGATCGGTGCCTCCCAGCCGCAGAGGGCGTCTCTCACCGTGCCTGGCCCTGGCCAGGCACGGTGGCGGTGCACAGGTGCCTTCTGCGCATGCCATGGGCCTCCTGGGCTCCAGGGCCGTCGAAGCCGCTCGGGGCGACAACCTGGTGCCGAGGATCCTGCATAGATGTGAAGCGGTGTATACATACATATATACACATGTATGCCTATGTGTGTTCACACATTATGTAAATGTATGTATGTGGTATACATGCGCACCTCAATCCATACATACATACATATGATACCGGAGAAAAGCCCCCAATCAGGGCTATAGGGCTAGGGGGCTATAGGGCTATTGAGCTATAGGGCTATAGAGCTATAGGGCTATAGAGTTGTAGGGCTATAGGGCTATTGAGCTATTGGGCTATAGGGCCACAGGCCTATAGGGCTTAGGGCTATAGGGCAATACGGCACCCCCGGGCACGCCCGGGCACCCGGGCACCCCCGGGCACCCGGGCACCCCCGGGCACCCCCGGGCACCCGGGCCCCGGGCACCCCGGGGCACCCGGGCACTTGGGCGTGCAGCGAAAATCGGCGACAAACCTAACCTAACCATATGAATCCGCTTGGACCCCTACAGAGGCAAGCTCTGATTGGGGAACATGCATGCGTGCATGCACACAGGTATGTATCATACCTACATGCGCACATGCATACATACACACGTGCATACATACATCCATCCATACAAACATGACAACATACATACGTTCGTACGTACATACATGCATACGTACACATCTGCATATACATACATGTACATCTACAAATACACATACACATAAAACACGTGTACATATACACATATACATACACACATAATCACATATGTACTTGCGTACGTACATACACATGCATGTACATATACACATACGTATACACAAACATATCCGTTTACACATACATATTTGCATATACATACATATACATCTACATACACATACACATGCACCTATACATATACAGGTACATACACGTAGACACACACATACGTACACATATACGTGTACGCATTAATTTACGCATACACGCATACACACACGTATATACATACATTGTATACACGTACATCTACACATACACACATACATACACACATACGTACATACGTACGTACGGCATCACATATACACATATTTATACATATACATATCCATTCACATTTACTTAAACACATACATTCACATATACATATACGTAGACATACACAACCGCATGCACACATGCACATATGTACACGTGTAAGTATACACGAATATCTACACATACACAAATACATCTACATACATACATACACATATGTACATATGTATACATACATACATACACACATACATACATACACACTTACGTCCGTACGTGCGTACGCATGTACATACACACATACACATACATAGGTGCATCCATATGTAAGTACGTTCGTGCATATACACATGCATAAACATTCACACATACATGCAGACAGACACACACACATAAATACTTATATACGTATATATACACATATATTGACGTATATATATATATATACAGATATACGTATTTATATACGTACGCACACACATACACACATGCATTCATACATACACCCATCCATCCATACAAACATGCATACCTATTGCATACGTGTGTACTTACATGCGTATATACATTTACATGTTCATATACATGTACGTGTACACTTACACATATGAATGCACACATCTAAACACATACATGCATACGTACGTACATCGACATTCACGTCTACACATACTTCATGCATATATTTGTATATCCATATACGTAAACATATACATGTAGAACTTCAGGTACACGTACATATACATATACACACACGTATACGCATACAAGTGAATCTACACATGTACACACATCTACCCATACGTACACATGCGTATACTTATACACATACACATACACATAAAACATACGCAGACATATATACATACACACGTAAATGCATAGATACGTACATACGTACTCACGTACATGCATACCTACGTACGTACATACACACAAACACTCAAACATACATACACACATACATACAAACATACATACATATGGAAATATTTGCATACATATGTACGCACGTGCGTGCACATACACATACAGACACACATACATTCACAACACACACACACATACATGAATACATACTTACATACCAGCATACATACAAACTAACATTCATACGAACATGCACATATACATATATATATATATATATATACACATACACGTTGGTATATATAAGCAGTTATGCATGGACATGTATACGAGTACACACAAATCAGTATAATATGTATGTATGTATATATATATATATATATACAGAAATATCTGTATACATCTATGCTCACCCCGGGGCCCCGTCTCCCTGTCAAGGGGGCCCGCTCCCCCTCCGCGCCGAGAGGAAGTGGTGCTGGGCGCCGCGGCCCTGGTGGAGGCCGCCGCGGCGGACCTGGGGCTCCCTCACCCCTCGGGGGCCGCGGCGCAGGTCGTGGCGGAGGCGGCCGAGGCCGCGTCCGCGCCCTTCGGCGCCGCCCTGGCGGCGGCTGCCGGGGAGAGGCCAGCCGCCGCGGAGGCGCGCGCGGGGGAGCAGGGCGAGGACGAGGAGGACGGCTTCGAGGTCGTCGGCTGCAGGGAGGGGGAGGTGGAGATCGCGCGGTCGCCGGCGAGGGGCCACCCGGCCTGGGACGGCTACTGCCCGGTACTGCTGGGCGCCGAGGGCGCCGAGGAGAACGCCCGCCTCGCTGGAGACGCGCACCTGCCGAGCCCCGAGGTGGACACCCCGCGCAGCCCAGAGAGCCCGGGGAGCCCCGGAAGCCCGGGGAGCCCCAGCTCGCCGCGTAGCCCGGTCAGCACGTGGGGCGCCGTACGGGTCGGCCAGCGCTAAATCGAGCGACGGCAGCCGGAAGCTGGAGAGCAGTCGCCGACCTGCTCGCCACTTCGCCCGCTCCGTGTGGGGACTCCTGCGCGGGTGTGCCCTCGCCACGCGGGGGCGTGGCAGAAAAAACGCGCGATCACAGGGCCCTCGGGTGGAGGAGCCTTGGCGGGCAGCAGGTGTCCAGCTTGAGATCGCTGGCTTCGCTGCGTTGCCCCTGCCCCAATGCTGTGATGTCGAAACGTCATGTTCGTCCTTGTATCACCCTCTACGTCGTATTTTCTCGTCCCGAGGCCGATGCCTCAGCTTGGAGGGGTGCGCCGATGCGTCGCTCTCCAGAGGGCTCCGGAGTCGCGCCGAAGGAGTTCGGAGTGAGGGGTCGCAGCGGATGCTAGGGCTCATGCGCCCTCCGTCTCTTGCTGCCGCCCCCTGTTGCCTCTCTCCCCAGGCCCCTGACGTCGGGATTTTTGACAACGTGAATCCCCAGATGTCTAGATCACTTCCCCGTGACCAGCTTTCCATCCCGGGTCGTTTTTGGACGGTGCCGGGGCCTGGTGAGGGCCCGCATAGTCAGAAAATTGCCAACAAACATCCAGTCGCAATTTTGATCACCCGATGGGGTCCGGGTGTTTCCGCTCCCCTCCCCTCCCTCCTTCCTCTCGCAAAGCGTGCACTGCAGTCCGCGCAGACGCTGGCCTGGCTTCATCGGCCCACCGCCTCTTGTCACTCAGTGCGCACGCGTCCTGTCTCCTGCCCCTCCCCCATTTGCCTCTCGCCTCCTGCACTGTCTCCTCTCTTTTGGGCCTCTTGGGTGCCTTTGGGCCTTTGGGGGGCCTCTTAGGGGCCTCTTGGGGCCTTCTGGGCGCCTCTGGGGGTCTCCTGGGGACCTCTTGGGGCGGAAGGCTCAGATTTGCGGTTCGTGTTCCCTGTTTTGGCCCCCTCTTGGGGCCGTGTTGGGGCCTTCTTGGGCCGTCTTGGCCGCCTCTTGGGCTGTCTAGGGGCCCTCTGGGCCGTTCTGGGGCCCTCTTTGAGGCCTCTTGGGCCGTCTCGGAGCGGTCTTGGGTGCCTGTTGGGCCGTCTTGGAACGTCGGGAAACCGAAAGGGCGAGACAGCACAGAACCTTCAAACACTTATTCAGTATCACGGATTTTTTGCCTCTCTGGGCCCGCTTGGGAGGCCTCTTGGAGGCCTCTGGCGTCTTGGGGGCGTCTTGGGCCGTCTTGGGGCCATCTTGAGCGTCTTGGAGCGATCGTTCGGAGACTCGGGGCACTCTTGGACCGTCTTCGGGGCCTCTTGGGGCCCTCTTGGCCCGTCTTGGGGCCCTCTTGGGCCCCAAGTCATGCGACAAGATGCAGGGAACCCCAGGGGACAGTCGCCAATCCCCAAGAGATTTCGGACATTCGGGTCTAGGCTCCTAAAACACACCTCGGGACTGAGGACTGAGGCTCCAGGGATTTAGGCAAAGGGCCTGAGGACGCGCCCACTCCGTGCCCAGCACGGTGGCGGATCTGCATAGTTGGCCTCCCACAGTGGGGCCCCCCGATCGCTGAACACGGAGCGGTAGCAGCGGCTCGCGTGCCCGGGTTTGGCCACCCTGCGCCCACGTCACGCAGCGCACCAACGATCATTCTATTGTGCAGGGTCATTCTCGCGTACAGCCGATCTGAGGTTCGGTGGTTCACCCCAGCAACCTCCCCGGTCCTTCAGGAGAGGCATTACCGTGGGTCCACCCACGCATGTGCACGGAGCGGTTGGGCTGGATTCAGATGCCCGCGTAGGTCTGCGGTCTCGCATCGCCTGGGGTGGGTGTCCCTTCGGGAGTCCTAGCCTCGCCAGCGGGTCATCATGTTGTCGAGCGTGGCTTGGGATATTTGCTGGCACACAGTGCACTTGGTGCAGGCCCACTGGTTGTACTGGCAGTCAATGATGGCGGTGCCCTTGGCTTTGCGGCGCTGGCATGTGTCGCCTGTGCCTGTCTTCAGCCTGAGGATGCCGCAGCGGATGTCCTTGGTAGCGGCACCGCCCCCAGTGGTCGTCTTCTCAGCCCTCGGTTTGGTGCAGATATTTTTGAAGGTTATCCACTGGCATGCCATGAACCTCCTGGGAGATCGGTTCCAGGTCATTGAGTGTCAGGTCAGCGGCAGCAGCGGCGCGCAGGCGGGCGCGCGCCTGCGGGCATGTTTGCCTGCCCTGTCCTCTGCCGCCTCCGCCTGGGTTCCCCGCGTAGGTGTCCCAACGTCGGCCGTCTCGTCCTGGTGAGCTCCATGGTCGTGTTGTAGGACGTCGCAGGTGTGGTCAGCCCAGCTCAGCCTCCCCGTTCTCGGCGATGGTGCCTCGATGCGCTCTGCTCCAGAGCTGATGGCCATCCAGGTTGTTTGCATGCTCCTGTGACACCTTCGTGAAGCTGGCGCAGACGATGATGGGGCCGGACAGGCCGAGGGTGGCCGGAGCTGGCTGTGTCGAGGGTCTCTCTGCGATCCTCGACGCGGGTGCTCGATTGGCGTCCGGCCGCGGCGGCGAGGCGCACGCGGCCTCTCGGGCCGTGGCGTTTTGTGGTCGGGCTCGCGGGCCCGGTTGCGTTCTGCTGGCTGAGGCTGGGCCCTGCCCCGTCTGCGGGCCCGCTGGCCTCCCGGGGCCAGCGCCCTCTGGGCCGCTCCTGTGTCCACCACTGGCCGAGGTGTCCATCATGGACGGCGCCCCGCCACCCCGCGGACACCGTGCGTCTGTTCGCGGGCGCCCCGCGCGGAGCGCACCCATGCGACCGCGCATCCGCGGGATCCCGCCCCGGAGTCCAGACCGCGAGGGCGCGGGTATGGATGCGTTCGCCCCTCGCGAGGTGCTGCCGGGGCAGGCCTTCTCCAGGTCTTCGCTCTCGGCGGCGGCGTCGGGGTCGCCGAGCCCGGCCTCCTCCTCGAGCTGCGCGCCGCTGCTGGTGCCTGCGATGTCGGCGTCGGTGGTGGTGGGAGTGGGGAGGAACGGCGGTGCCTCCTTCCGCAGACTGCTCGTCTGTGCTGCGGAAGCAGCCTGCGCCTTTTCCTGGCCTCATTCCTCTGGTTGTCGACATCCTTCTGGTCCCAGTCCCAGTCTGAGCGCTGGCGGTCCGTGCGTTGGGTCCTTCAGAAGCTCTGCCAGGTGTCGCCTATGAGCAGCCGGAGACTTTTGCGACGTCGGCGGGTGATGGCAGCAGCGCCTTCCGAGCCGCGCAGGCCAGGCGGCGGAAGGCAGCAGGCTGCTACCTGGGTTTGCGTCTCCACGACTGGACGCAAGCCAGTGTCGGTCTGCGTGGCGCCGTGGGCTCCGCGCAGGTGGCCGCCGGAGGCCATGGCGCGGACCCTGCGTGCGCCGCGCCTGGGCGTCGCCGCGAGAAGTGGGGCGGGCGGGCGTGCCTGCCTGTCGCACCCGCAGGCGTGTCTGTAGGGCGGGCCTGGGCGGTTCGCCTGAGGCTTCACCAGTTGTGACCCTGAAGTTGAAGCTTGGAACTTGGTGGAACGTATTCAAAGATGGAGGGCGGATGGCTTTCGACATGTTGCTTTCGCGTCAGCGCCGCGCACATTGTTTATGATTTAGAAATATCTTTTTTACAACAGTTCTGAGCATGGAGGAGGGCGGCCCGTTTTCCAAATGTGGCTCTCGCTTTGGCACCGCGCGCACTCGGCGGAAACGTCTGCAGCTTCAGGGACTGAGGGCGGCCCGTTTTCACCATGTGGTTTTCGCCACAGCGCCGCGCAGAGTCCTCCAACAATTTGCAGCAGTTTTTTTTTCAAAGGTTCGCACGATTGGAATCCCAGGAATGTTGTTCTGGGGCGATTTATGACTGGCAGGACGCACCAGTCATTTATGATTCGCGGTGTTGAAATTCCAGGTGTAGTGTTCTGGTGCGACTTAGGATTGCCAGGGCTCAACCGTCACGCTTTATTCGTGGCATTGAAGTCTCACGACTGGTGTTTTGGCACGGTTGTGGATCATCAGAGGGTTGTCTTCTAATGGGGCACTTCCCGCAATGGAAATCATTTCTAGACGCTTCGCGTAACTCCGCCAGCCCATCCAGAAACGATGCCCAGGCGAGTTGCCCTGATCAGGCATGTGAGACAGATGCAGTGGAACAAAGGTTGGGAAGCCGTGATACCCCAAGAGGCAAAGGATGGAAGAGTAACCAGAAGAGGAGGAGGAGTAGGAAAAGGAGGACGAGGAGGAGGAGAAGGAGGAGGAGGAGGACGAGGAGGGGGAGGACGAGGAGAGAGAAACTCGAGGAGGAGGAGGAAGAGGTGGGGGAGGGGGAGGAGGCAGGAGGGAGGAAGAAGAATAGGCGGATGATGATGATGATGATGATGATGATGATGATGATGATGATGATGATGATGATGATGATGCTGGTAATGATGATGATGGTGATGATGTTGATGATGATGATGCTGATGATCATGATGATGATGACGATAATGATGATGCTATGCTGATCATGATGATGATCATGATGCTGATGATGATCATGATACTGATGATGATGAGGAGGATGATGATGATGACGACGCTGGTGATGATGCTGATGATGATGCTGATGATGATTATGATGATGATCATGATGCTGATGATGCTGTTGATGATGATGCTGATGATCACGATCATTAGGATGATGATGACGATGATGATGCTGATGATGATGAGGCTTATGCTGATGATGAAGATGATGATGACGATCGTGATGGTGGTGGTGACGATGAGGATGATGTTGATGATGATGGTGATGATGTTGATGATGCTGCTGATGATGACGATGATGATGATGATCATGATGAGGATGAGGATGAGAACGAGGACGAGGATCATGATGATGCTGATGATGATTATGATGCTGATGATGCTGATGCTGATGATGATGATGCTGCTGCTTCTGATGATGATGCTGATGCTGATGATGCTGATGCTGAGGCTGATGACCATTATGATGATGATGTGGAGGATGAGGAGGATGAGGATGAGGATGAGGATGAGGATGCTGATGCTGATGATGCTGATGATGATGATGATGATGATGATGATGATGATGATGATGATGATAATAAGGATGAGGATGAGGATGGGGATGAGGATGAGGATGAGGATGCTGATGCTGATGATGCTGATGATGGTGATAATAAGGATGAGGATGATGATGGGGATGATGATGAGGATGATGATGATGACGATAATTATGATGATGATGATTATGATGATGGTGGTGATGATGATGACGATGACGATGATGATGCTGATGATGATGCTGATTATGATGATGATGATGACGATGATGATGATGCTGATGATGATGATGATGCTGATCATGATGATGCTGATGATGATGATGATGATGCTGCTGCTGCTGCTGATGATGATGATGATGATGACGATGATGATGAATGATGATGATGATGATGATGATGATGATGATGATGATGATGATGAAGGAGGAGGAGGAGGAGGAGGAGGAGGAGGAGGGGAGGAGGAGGAAGACGAGGACGAGGAGGAGGAGGAGAAAGAGGAGGAGGAGGAGGAGGAGGAGGAGGAGGAGGAGGAGGAGGAGGAAGACGAAGAGCGAGCAGAAGCGCCAGAGGCCTCTTGAATACCTCTCAGAGTCTCCTCGGATGTCTCTTGGAAGCTTTTTGGAGGCCTCTTGGAGCGTCTTGGGGGTCTCTTAGCGGTCCTGGGATCCTCTAGGAGCGTCTTGGCTGCCTCGGGGAGCCTCTTTGGGCCTCTTGGGGGTCTCTCGGGAGCCTCTTGGAGGCCCCTTGTGCGCCTCTTGGGGCCTCCTGGGCGCCTTTTGGGGCCCTCTTGAGGCGCTCTTGGGAGCCTTGGGGGCGCTCTTGGGGCCATCTTGGAGGAGATCGATCAAAAAGATGGGAGCTCTAATTACGTTCCCCCCTCGGGAGCCCCAACAATCGCCTCTTGGGCCCCTCTTGGGGCGCTCTTGGAGCGCCCTTGGGCGCTCTTGGGGCCGTCTTGGGCCTCCCTTGGGCCTCTCTTGGGGCCCTCATAGGCCATCTTGGAGTTGTCTTGAGGCCTCGGAAGGCCATCGAAAGCGAAAAGGCGAGAAGGTACAATTCATATATTTCCCGATTGTTTTCGAAGGATTTTGGCCTCTTGGCGGCCTCCTGGGGAGGCTCCGTGGCCACCTGGGGCCGTCTTGGAGCGTTCTTGGGGTCTCTTGGAGCATATGGGGAGCCATCTTGGGGCACTTTGGGCTATGTTGAGCAATCTTGGAGGTCTTCTTGGGCTCTCTGAGGCGCTCTTGGAGCCGTCTTGGGCCATCTTGGACGCCCCAACGCGTCGCGGAACCCCCCGTCCAGGTCCAGGGGGGCTGGGGGGAGCGGTAAACCCTTCCCCGAAGGGGAAGAAGGGGTGTTGAAGAGAGTGCTCTCTAGACAACTTACGCCCAGAGGGCTGGTGGGATTCCTGTAGGGACCTGTGAAGCGGAAATTTGGAGGATGGTTTATTGCAACACCGTTGATGCGTCTGGGGCTTGCACTTGTCCTCCTCCTCCTCCTCCTCCTCCTCGAGCCCAAATGGCTAGAACTTTCAAAGCACGGTCCCTTCACCCCCCTCCCTCCCTCCCTCCCTCCCTCTTCATCGGTGCGAAGCCTGGTGCCACCCTCCCCCCCTCTTACTCCTGGCACTCCTTCCCCCCTCCACTCCTGACTCGCCCCAGCGCCGCTGCCCGACCTCTCTCCGTCTTCCCCCCCCCCTCTCCCAGAGCTGGACACCACAGAGGTGGACCCACGGCCGTGCAGGACAAGGAGGGCAGCCGTCACTTCGTCCCTCCTCCTCGCCCCTCGCGCTCAGTGGGGCCGCGCCGCAGCTCCCTCCTGCGCCCGCGCGTCCGCCGTGCTCCCCGCCGCTGCCGCGCGCCGTTCGCCCTCCCCCGCGCGTCCGCTGCGCCTGTGCCAGCCGCCGTGCTCCGACGCTCTCCCGCCGCGGGGCCATGGCCGCCCGCCCGGGCGCCCGCCGGCATGGCCGCGGCCCGCCCCCTCGCCGCGCCCAACGTAGCTGACCCGGTGCCCCGCGGCCCCCCCGGAAGCGCCTCGCGGCGGGCGCAGGCCCGGGGCGCGGGGCGGAGCTCTCCGCGCTCTCGGCGGCCGCAGGGGGCACGGGCGCAGGCGGCCGCGCCGGCGGACGCGCGTGCATGCGTACGGGCAGTGGCGGAGCTGGGCCGCGCGAAGCGATGGCGTGAGGCGGTGCTCCTAGTAGAGGACTGGCGGCTGCGGCGCCAGGAGGTCAACGCCCACGTATGCGGGGCGGCCATCAGCGCCTGCGCGGCAGGGAGCGAGTGGCGGCAGGCCCTCCTCGCACTGCGGGGCGCGCAGCTGTGCGGACTCGCGCTGGACGCGTTCGCGGCGTCGGCCGCGGTGAGCGCCTGCGGGCGGGCAGGGGAGTGGCAGTGGGCGCTGGCGGTGCTGCGGCAGATGTGCAGCGGAGGCATGGATGCTCTCAGCATCGCGGCATACAACGCGGCCACCAGCGCCTGCGGCACAAGCGGCGAGTGGCAGCGGGCACTGGCACTCTTTGAGGAGGCGCGCCGGTTGCTGCTGCGGGCCGACGCGCTGTCGTACGGCGCGGCCGTAAGCGCCTGCGAGAAGGCAGCCAGGTGGCAGCATGCGCTCTTGCTGCTGCTCAGCATGCCTTCGGCGCAGGTGGAACAGAACGTGGTGGTGTTCAGCGCCGCCGCGAGCGCGTGCGATAAGGGTGGTGAGTGGCAGCACGCCCTTGCTCTGATGTCTGCGGCCCTCGAGCGGTGGTTGCTCCCGAACCCCGTCACCTACAACGCCGTGATCAGCGCCTGCAGTCGAGCTCAGCAGTGGCAGCGCGCACTCGCGATGTTCGGCGAGATGCGGCAGGCAGCGCTCGAGCCTTCGGTGGTCACTTTCGGGGCGGCCATTAGCGCGTGCTCTGCTGAGGGCGCGACAGAGTGGCGCCTGGCCCTGGCGCTGCTGTCCGATGCCAGGGGCTTGCGGCTGCGGCTGGGTGTGGTGGCGCCCAGCGGCGCTATCAGCGCGTGCGGCAACGCGGGGCAGTGGCAGAAGGCGCTGGCGCTGCTCTGGGAGATGGAGGCCAGCAGGGCCTCGCCCGATCTCATCGCCTTCAACGCCGCCATCAGTGCCTGCGAGAAGGGGCTGTCCTGGTTGCCCGCGCTGTCGCTGCTGGAGCGGCTGCGGCTGCAGGGCCTGGTGCCGAGCCTCACCACTTGGAACGCAGCTGCCAGCGCCTGCGAGAAGGCGCTGCAGTGGGAGACCGCCTTGGGCCTGCTCAGCGGGGCTGTCGCCGCCAGCTTCGAGGCAGACGTCGTCACTTGCAGCGTCGCCGTGAGCGCCTGCGCCAGGGGCCGGCACTGGGAGGGCGCGGTGCTGCTGCTGCGGCGCATGCGCCGCGAGGCGCTGGAGCCGAACTCGGTGACGTTCGGAGCCGTGGTCAGTGGGTGCTCGTCTGCCCAGACTGCCGGCCGCGGGGACCACTGGCTGCGGGTGCTGGGGCTCGTGGACGAGATGCGGCAGGGGGGCGCAGTCCCGAGCGGCTTCAACTGCGGCGCTCTGGTGAGAGCCTGCAGGAGCGCAGGCCTGTGGGAGCGCGGCCACGTGGCGATGGACACCATGCGCCGCGTGTGGCTCCACGAAGAAGCGCGGGCCGCGGAGGCGGCGCGTCTGGAGGCAGGCCAGCCAGCGCCCGAGCCAGGGCCCAGCCTGGCAACCGTGTGCCACGTGACGTCCGATCCGACGATGGAGCTCGGTGCCCCGGTCGCTCGGGCCGAACCGCTCGGCGGCGGAGCCCCCTTCGTGAGCGGGCGTGGCGTCGTGGCTGTGCTCAAGCCTCCCCACACGGCCACGGCGCACGTGCTGGACGCCGTGCGCCGCCGCGTGGTGAGTGCAGGCGAGAGCGGGCTGACCACCACGTCGAGGCTCGACCTCATGACCTCGGGCGTGGTGGTGGCCGCCCTGGGGCACGAGGCCTCTGCCGCCGCGCACTGGGTGCGCGCCCAGTTCGCGGGCCGCCTCGTTGCCAAGGAATACCTCTGCCTCTGCGCTGGAGGCGGCCTGGGCCCCGCGGGCGCGGGCGGCGAGGTCACCACGCGCCTCGGCGTCGAGGAGGCGGAGGACTGGGACGGCCTGCGCGCCTTCGCGCAGGCCGACGGCAAGGAGGCCGTGACGAGGTACTCGGTGCTGGCCCTCTATTCGCGCACGGCGCGGCCGACCAGGGCGTCCTCGTGGACGCTGCTTGCGGTGCGCATCGCCACCGGCCGCACGCACCAGATCCGCGCCCACCTCTCCGGTGTGCTGCTAGAAGTTGTCCTGGTCCAAGGTGACCTCAGCTTTCGAGACCGTTTTTTTTCACTGGCGATGACGGGCGTGACCAGGGGGGGAGGGGGGAAGGGGCCAGTCATGTCACGACTCGCGCCGGCGCCGTCTGGGAATGCATGCGACTTGCCCATTCCCACATGGCGCCAGCGCGAACGGGGACGTGACCAGGTTGGGGGGGAAGGGGGGGAGGGGGGGCGGGGACGGTCGCCATCGCGAATCATGGAAAAGACGGGCTCTTCCCAGGGAGGCCCGTGTGGCCTCCAGAGCGCCCCTCACGAGGCCCAGGGGGCCCCCAGGGGCTTCAGAGCGGCGCGGAAGGCTGGGGACAGCCTGGAGCAGGACCTCTTCGAGCACCACCTGGCCCTCGCGCTGCTCGGCCGGCCGCTCGCCTCCGACCAGCTGTACAGCTCGAAGGGGGGAAGGCAGCAGACGCATCGGCTGCTGGAGGTCTGCGCGGATTTCTCGGATCGGCGCTGGGCGCTCCGCTCCCTGGCGCGCGGAGCGCGCCGGGGGGCCCAGCACCGATCCGAGAATTTAGTTCGGACCTCCGAAGGCTTATGTTGATCCTTGAGATTCGACGCTGCGAACAAGTGCATCACCGCAAAACATTACGACTGGAGCCCCAGGCCCCGTCCATCGGCGGCACTTGTCGAGCCAGATCGACCCATGATTGCCCTGGGGCCCGAAACCAGGCGAAAACGCACGGCGTGAAAAACAGAAAGGACACAATCAAGAAACCATTTGCTTTTCGTCAGGGTACACGGGTTTCTTCGCTCCGCGCGCTGCGCGGTGATTTCCCGCGTCCATCAGAAAAACTGCTGCGTCCAGGGTGCTCTGGGCTTCCCACCAGCCGCACCTCGCGCGCGGGTCCTCAGGGCGCGGTTTCTTTGCGAGGGATTCCTGCGGCTGCGTCCGCACTAAATTGCACTGCCCTGGACCTCAGGGCTGCTCCCCAAGGGCTTGACGACTTTTCGCCAATCGTTTTTTCCCGGATCAAGCATGATAGATCAAGGTAAATCTAGGTACCTCCGCGTACACCCAGGTAATTCGGGTAAATCTGAGCAAATCCCGGCAAATCTGGAGATCTCCAGGGAAGCTTGGAGCAAATCGTGGTCGTTCCAGCGCGAGCTGAGTGACGGCAGCAGTCGCTACGTCCTCAACGAGCTGCAGCTTTCTCGCCTTCGGACAGCCCGGGCCGCGCGGCTGCGGACGCTCTGTGGTGCGGCAGGCTCTTCCTGCACTGCCGGCGCGTGGCGCTGCGGGACGCCGCGGGCGCGCCCTTCGCGGCCGAGGCGCCGCTGCCGCCGGACCTCGCCGCGGCGCTCGGGAGGCTGCGGCGGCTGCCCGGGGAAGGGGCAGAAAAGCGCCGTGTGCCGAGCAGGTCGGCCGCGCGTGAGAGTGACCCCTCGCCGCAGTGACCTCTGGTGCGGGCCCACAGGGTCTCCTCCGCATGGGCCTGCGCGCTCGGGTTTTGCCCACCCCCCGCGGTCCCCTCGAGCCCCGCACAGAGGGTCATTCTTGCCCAGGGCCACGTTTGCCCAGGGTCGTGACCTGTCCAGCAGTCTAGGCCTCCCAGACGGGTTCTGGGCAGACGGGGTCGAAGGATCGTGCCGCATCGCCGATGCATCGGCGACGTCGGCGCAGAGAAATTCGATGCATCGGCGATGTGGCGCAATCCTCCGACTCCAGCTGCTCGGACCCCGAGACCTCTGGGGGTCCACGCTGCGCGTCTTGGAGACATTTTGGTGCCATCTTGAGCTCTCTCATCGTAATTGTCTGAAGGCCATCTTGGCCGTCTTGGAGGCCATCTTGGGGCCGTCTGGAGCGGGAAGACCGACGACCTGGGCTGTTTATGGGTCTTTGCGGGGTAGACAGGCCGACGGGAGACGCCTTCTATGCGCCCGGGTGGCCGGCGCATCAAGCCGCAGGCCCATGGGAAACTTGAGCAAAAGCTAATAACTACCTAACGTTTGACACGCCGTGCACCCCTGTGGTAAGTCAACAGGGGGCGGCGGATCGAAGACGCCTACGGCGAATCACCGCCGCCCCTTGCCTATTGAGATACGCCTATGTGGCCAAATGCTTGGGCAAAGTTTGGCCACGTTACTGGGCCATGTGTTCCCCCAGCCGTTGCGGAAGCCCTTTGGGGATCACGTGGGGGAGGAAGAGGAGGATGCGGAGAGGGAGGAAAAAGGAGGATGAGAAGAAGGATGAGGAGACCTCATGGGAGCTTCTTGGGCCATTCTTGGGGCTTCCTGAGAGCTTCCTGTGGCCTCTTTGAGGCCTCTTTGGGGCCTCCCTGGGGACCTTTTTGGCAAACGTACGGCGTTTCTTGCCTGTCTGACGCCGTCGGGAGCTGTCTTGGGAGCCTCTCTGGGCCTTCTTGGGGCCCTCTTGGGGCGCTTCCAGGTCGTTCTGAAGGCCATCTTGGGCGTCTTGGAGGCCTTTTGGCCGTCTTGGGTCCCTTTGGGGGTCGTCTTGGGAGCCTCTTGGACCATCCTAGAGCAGTCTTGTAGGTCTCTTGGACGATCTTTGGGCAATCTTGGGGGCCTCTTGGGCTATCTTGGGCCGTTGGAAGGCCGTTTGGAAGCAAATACCGACATCCTTCAAAAACCAGGCGAAAATCAATGATGTTGGCGTCGTCCTTCCTGGGGGACCTCTTGGAGGCCTCTCGGGCCTTCTTAGGGGCCTCTTGGGCACTTATTGGGCCGTCTTGGGCTCTCTTGGACCATCTTGGCGGTCTTGGAGACTTCTTGGGACCGTCTTGGAAGCCATCATGAGGCTATCTTGGGATCTTTTGGGGCCATCTTGCCCGTCTCGGAGGCACCTTGGAGGCCAACTTGGACCATCTTGGCCGTCTTGGAGACTATCAAGGCCGTCTTGGATTCTTTTTGGGAATTTACGGGCTCTTCGGGTGGCCAGCGGGTTGGGCCGAGACCCCACTGAGAGTTCTTTCGAAAGTAACCCCAAACCACCTAGACGTCCAGCATGCCAGGCACCCATGTGATAAATCACCAGTGGGCGGCGGATCTAGTGGCCTTCGTCCCAACCCGCCACCGTGTCTGGGTCGTGGGCCAGGTGTGTCTTGGATGCCTTTAGGGGTTTCTTGGGATGCCCCTCGGAGGTTTCGTGGGATGCCTCCTGCTTGGAGCAAGCTATGTGGGCTATGTGTTACCCGAGTAGTACCACTCGGGCCATATTGCTCGCAGCGGCCGTCGATCCCTCGTGCCTGGGCTTTGGGTCAGAGGCCTTCTTAAAGGCCTCTCGGGGTCTCTTTGGATGCCCCTCGGGGGCCTTTTGGGGACTTCTTGGGGGCCTATTGGGGATCTTTTGACGGCCTATTCGGGCCTCTTGGGGGCCTTTTGGCAGCACCTTGGGGGCCGCCTGTAGGACATCCCAAGAGCTACTTGGCGGTCTCGAGGACCATCTTGGCACAGCAGGGTTCGGAGATCATACGGGAGACCGTTTTCAGCATTTGGCGCTCGCACGGGATGTCCAAACGTGAACGTGTGACACTTCTAACCTCCAATGCATTTATTGAGGGCGACACCCTGCAAACATTGGCTCTCGCTTTGGACTTTCTGGCAACTTCTGATCCCAAATGTATAGTTTCCCAACAGTTACGCGGATGGAGGGAGTATCGCTTTGCACAATCGGACTCGACCTTTTTTGACCATATGCACATCCTCGAGCTTGAGAGTTTGAAACACTCAATGAATGTACTTCGGTGCCGTCTCGAAATCATGTTCTCGCTCGAGGCCCGCGCGCATGTGTCTGAAAGTGCTTGCACCATCGGCGTGGATTGAAACCGACCTTATGATGTTTTGCTTTGCAGCATAATCTGATTCAGTCATCATGCGGTCATTGCTGTGTGTACACTTGTATTTATATTTACACACAGATGTATTCACGGATAGAGTTCAAACTGTTGGATATCTCTCCATGCAGGCCCTTGGGGCCTTCACCTTCTTAGCGGGCGTTCGCCCACAGGAGCTACAGAACATCAACATCAGTTGGGCTTCTTGTGGGGGGGGGCTTGGGACGTGAGGCCGTCTTTCAGCCCATGCCACTCTGCCAAAAGGTCCCCAAGGCAGCTCGTGTCTGGAGGCATTCTGGCTCCAGGGCAATTTTGCATCGAGCGATTCGAAGCCTGACACTCTTCACATCTTGAACCAGCACTTCTTTTCCGATGCCGCTCCTCCGCGGTGCCCTCTTCGCGCTGCTGGCCCTCGGTTGCCGCGCTTTGGAGGCGAAGGACAAGACCATGCTCGGAATCGACTGCACCACGTTGGGCAAGAGCGATTGTGATTCAACAGCAGGGTGCGTGTGGCCGGCGGGTCATACCGGGTGCTTGACACTTCCTGCCACCGCGCCGACTTTGACACCGCCCTGAAGCGTCTGAGCGAGGCGTTTGTCGTATGCGGCCGGCGTGAGGTGCCATTTCTGCTCTGGCGATTCATTAAAAAGACGGCCCCCGCAAGACTGTCCGAGAGGACCACAAGAGGACCCCAGCATCGCCCAGGTTGGAAACATGTTCGCGTATTCATCTTCTCGGGTTTTCCTCAGCACAGGGCGGCTCGAGGGGCCCATGGCCCCAAGATAACCCGAGAGGCCGCAGCATGCCCCGCGACTCTTCCAAGGCAGCCGCAAGAGAGCCCAAGAGAGCCCCTGGCTGGCCCAGGGGGGGTCCCAAAAGAGCCCCAAGGTGGCCAGAGAGGGCCTCCGGATGGGCCCCAGGGCGGAGAGTTCCACTGTTGTCTTGTTCGTGACCAACCTCCCTGGGTGGAGATCTGCTACGTCTCCGCCTCCCCCGCCCCGTTTCTTCTCGTCGCCCCCTCCCCTCAGCGGTCTCATTCGGAAGCACCGTCGACACTCCAGCGGCCGAGCCTGGATTCGGGGCCGAGTGGGTGCGCTGGAGCAGTACCTGACCGCTGCTCCACTTGAGCCGACCCAGCCAAGACCTGCGACGTCCTGACTTTGTGAGCACGGGGTCCCTGGGAGTCCCGACCCTCTCCCCGTGGCCGCTTTGTCATCCCGAGCCGTCCTCTGACAGGCCCCAGGCCCGTCGAGAGCCCCCCGAGGCCGAAAATGGCCAAAGACCTCCCCGTTTTTTTTGTTTTACGACGCGAGCATGTCTGGGAACGTCTCTCACTCTTCGCTTCACCCTCTTTCCCCTCCCGGGTCGCCGCCCCTGCCGGCCCCTGCCGCGCAGCTGCAGGGGAGCCGGGCCGGCACCCGATGTGGCCGTGCGGGTGCTGCCTCCCGTCCCCTCGCCTGCGCAGGTCGCGCGCGCGCGCGCTCGGGAGCTGCTCGCCGCTGGTGTCTGCTCGCTGAGCCGAGTGCGTCGCCGCACGTCGCCGGGAGGGATGGCGACTGGCCCCCCTTCCCGGCTGGCCTCCGCGAAGGGGTCCAGCCCGTCGTTTGTGTGCGGCGTGCGCGGCCGCGACGTTGCCGCTCTGCTTCTCTGCCGAATTCGGCCCGCAGCGTCCGCCAGTGGCCGCGGTTGGTACACCGTCATTGGCGCGTTTCGCTTGGTAGCCGTCTCGGAGTTATGCGCCTCGATGTTCTGGCAGCTTGTGGCAGGGGGCGCGCAGCCAGTGAATGGGCATTTGGATGCGCGTTTAGGCGGACGTGGCGTCAACGCCACAAAAGGTTTGGGCAAGGTGCGAGTGGGCGCGCTGCGGATGGCCATCGTGGCGCAAAAAGTTCTGACGTTGGCGGCTGGCTGTCGAAGTGCGTGGCGCGAGCAGGCAAGTGGGGCGCCACAGTCTTGCCCGAGGCAACGGCTTGGCGAGGTCCGCTGCTCCATGAGCGCCTGCGCTGGAGGCGGCTGTTGGCAGTGCGCGCGGCGGAATTCCTCCGCACTTTGCACGGCTTGGCCTCCGCAAGTGCCCGCTGCCACTGGCGACCGTTTGACCATTTGTTTCTCTGCGGTCTTTACCATTGTGATCTCCCCAATTCTCTGAACAGTGCTTGCGCTACGGCTTCTTCATTCTGCTCAGAGTAGCTGGCTGGGTCTCCAGGTTTTCGGCCAGTGGGCGCCCGTGGCCGGACCGTGGCCACCCCCTGCGCTGGCTGTGTCTTCGGATTTTCTGCCATCGGGCGCCCGCACCGCATGCTCTGGGCGGGATGTTAATCGAGGGGTGGGCGACTCCGACGGAGCTTGCCCATCCCCCCCCTCCTCCTCCTCCTCCTCCTCCTCCTCCTCCTCCTCCTCCTCCTCCTCCTCGTCCTCCTCCTCGTCCTCCTCCTCCTCGTCCTCCTCCTCCTCGTCCTCCTCCTCCTCCTCCTCGTCCTCCTCCTCCTCCTCCTCCTCCTCCTCCTCCTCCTCCAACCCCCCTTCCATTCTTTCCGACAGCACGTGCCCAACCCGCCCAGCGGATTCAAGGGGGGGGCGATTAATGCCCCATCCAGATCAGCTGACACCGCACATTTTTCACAGCGCAGCTCGCACCGCCCAGGTCCTGGCAGCTGAGCGAATTGGCCGAAGGAGGCAGATGCTTTGTCCAGGCAGCCTGGTGGCCCCCGCGGCCGTAGCCAGCGGAGGAGCGCGCGGACACATCAGGGCACGGCTCGCCGCAGCACGCCACGGAGCG